TCCTGAATTGCCTAGAACAAATAGAGTTATTGCTCAACCTTCTAAGAGCATAACTTTTTCTCAAAAAAAATCAGAAATCGGCAATCCAACTAAAAAGCGAAAAGCAGATAATCCTAGCCCCAGTTATATTCCTCCTAAAAGAGATTATGATTGGTCTTATACGGGATCACCCATCATGATGTCAAATAATCCCTCATTTGAAGATATCAAAAACAGAATAACTCAAGATTTATTTAATAACATTGCATCTACTTTTCAATCAACAAACCAACACAGCTATGTGCGCAATTCTTTATCTGAGACTAACTTGCAGATTATGATTACAGATATTGTTAAGAATGTCTTTAAAAATTATGGTAATATTCAGTCACAAAATTAAAATAGTTCATTGGAATGCCAGGTCGGCATTCGCTAATCATAACCTTCTTAAAAATTTATGCACTAATACACAATTTGATATAGCTCTTATTTCTGAAACATGGTATAAACCTACTTATAACATTAGACTTCCTGGTTACAACTTAGTTCGTAAAGATAGAAGAGATGGTAAAGGTGGCGTTGCTATTTTTGTCAAAAGTACCTTTTCCTATGATATTATAAACTTAAATTCCATTAACAATAATAATATTGAAATATGTGCCATTAACCTTAAAATAAATGGTGATATAATTTCTATAGCGTCTATGTATCGTCCCCCTAATATTAACGTTTCGGTGAACAATTATATACAAATATTCAATAAGTTATCCAAAACATGCATCATCGGCGGTGACTTTAATAGTCATCACACAATTTGGGGTTCATCCCAAATCAATCACGCAGGTGATGTTTTAATGGAGGCTATTGATTTTATGCCCCACCTTATAGTCAGAAATGAAGGTAACCCGACTAGAATCTCTTATAATTACTCTTCTGCATTAGATATCACAATTATATCATCAAATTTATTAAATGGTTCCAGCTGGACAGTATTAGAAGACTCATATGGTTCCGACCATTTACCTGTAGTTTTAGAATTTAACAAAAATGATCAGGCATTCTTGAACACTAAAATTAATAGATGGTCTTTGAAAGACCCAAATTGGGAATTGTATAGAAAACTTATTGAAGAAAAAGTATATAAAATAGAAATTTCGCCTAGTGCCAATACAATCCTTTCTGGAATTATCGATATTATTACCCAAACGGCTAATATATGTTTTAGTAAAATTAATACTCAATATACTAAAAGGTATACTCCCTCTTGGTGGGATAACGATTGTTCCAAAATAGCTATGGAACGGTCCCAAGCTCTGAAAAATTATAAAAAACGACACAGTTTGCAAAATTTCTTATCATATAAAAACATTTCCGCTAAATCCAAAATAATGTTTAATCAAAAAGCAAAAGAAAGCTGGAAAAAATTTTGCTCAAGTCTCAATTCCCAAACTAGCCCATCTCTAATATGGAAAAGAATTAATGCTGTGTCCAAAGGACTATTAAATAACCCAACCAATGCAATCTCTGAAGATCTTGCCCAACAACTATTAGATAAAATTGCTCCAGACTCAGTCAATTTACCATTTGACCCAATCTTGGTTTATAACAATCAACATCCCCTATGTACATTAATTACAATAAATGAATTAAATATTAACATTAAAAAATCGAGCGACACTGCTCCGGGATTAGATGGTATTACATATTCCATGATCCAATTTTTACCCGAAAATGCCAAACAACTTTTATGCACAGCATTTAATAAAATTATTTTACAAGGCAATGAGTGCCAAATATTAAAGAATATTATTGTAATCCCCATTAATAAACCAAATAAAATAAATGAATTCAGACCTATTTCGCTAATGTCATGTATTCTTAAGACTATGGAACGTATTATTAAAAGTCGTTTGGAATGGTGGGTGGAATACACAAACAAATTACCTAAGACACAGTTTGGCTTTAAACGAGGTAAAGGTGTTATGGATTGCATTGCTCATCTAACAGTTGATATACAGAACTGTTTTTCAAAAAATCATTATTTAACTGCTTTATTCCTGGATATATCCAGTGCATACGATAACGTCAATTTAACCTTACTAGTAGATAAAATGGTTAATGTATTGGATATACCGAGGTTCTTCTGTATTAATATTGTTAAAACTTTTGTTGAAAGAAATATTTACATCCAAATGATTGACAAACTTCATGGACCCAGGATAACAAGCCAGGGTTTGCCACAGGGATCAGTTCTCAGTCCTTTTCTCTTTAATATTTATACCTCAGATATTCATAATATCACTCATGAAGTAACTATTATACAATATGCAGATGACTTTTGCATCTATACATCCCAGAAAAAATTAAACAATTGCCTTCAGATATTAAATGGAAATATCAACAATATAAACACTTATTTCTTCAACAACGGCCTGGATATCTCAACCTCGAAATCTGAAATTACTGTTTTTACGAGACATAACCTGTTGTATCAGGACAATATATCTCTGGGTCCATATAATTTTCCTTGGAGGAGATGTTCCCGCTACCTGGGTGTCTGGTTGGATCAAAAATTAACTTGGGAAAAACAAATTAACAGTATTATTGAAAAGGCTGGGAAAAGTTTGAATTTATTAAAAGCAACCACCAAAAGACATTGGGGTTCTGACCCTAAAACTGCACTTATGTTCTACAGAGCTTACACTAGATCCTTGATTGATTTTTCCTCAGTATTTTATGGTAGTGCGACTAAAACACGGCTAAATAAAATTGACCGCCTACAATATAAAGCTTTACGGATTGTCACTGGTGCATTCTGTTCTACTCCAGTACAAGCCTTACTAGCTGAAACTGGGGAAATGCCTCTACAATTAAGACGTAGCTACTTAGCCCAAAAGTTTTTAGTTAAAAATATATACATCACCAATAATTTTCTTCTTAACAAAATCTATACATTGTCAACCGATAACCTAACATCAAAATACTGGATACATAAAAATTCTCCACCGCTGGCTGCGGCTTTTATACAAACATCTGAATTACAAAATGAGATAACGTCATATATTAAAATTCCTTTTTTCATGGAAAACTATAATAATATTTTATGCCCTATAGAGGTTAAATATCCACAATATACCCCATATTCGCAAATAAACAACAACATAGTTAATTCCATGGTGCAAGATAATTCATTAATTAGTATATATACTGATGGATCTAAGACAGATAATGGTGTTGGATGTGCATATTATATACCTAGCAAAAATATTGAAAAACAATATAAACTCCACCCTAAGGCTAGTATTTTCACTGCAGAAATGTCTGCTATACTATATTCCCTAGATTACATTAGTCAGAATAGGAAGTCAACCAGATATGTAATTTTATCCGATTCAAGATCCTGTTTGCAGGCTATAGATAATAGCACTAAAAACATATATAAAAATCCCTTAGTTTTTGAAATATGTCGGAAATTAACTAATTTAGCACAACAAAATATTCAAATTTTATTTGTTTGGTGCAAGGGTCATAGTGGGGTTATCGGCAATGAAAAAGTAGATATATATGCTAAAGAAGCCATTCATAGTGAAAATTTTATACTTAACTTACAATTTTATGATGTTTTCCCAATTATCAAAGAAAATTTATATAAGATCTGGAAACAAAATTATACTGATTATGCAATGAATAACATCAATAGATATACACGTACATACCCAATTTTAGTACCAAAACCTTCTATCCAATTTAATGATTTAAACAGAAAGTCTTATGTAACCCTCTTTAGGGCCATAACTGGACATGGTAACATCAATTACCTTCTTCATAAAATGAAACTCTCCGATACCAATATATGTAATTGTAGTAATCCCAGTATTGATGATCTAGAACACTGGTTTTTTGAATGTGGACATAATAAAAATGCTTCCAAGCATATAATGGATGAACTGGCTAAATTACGTCTACTACCCATCAATTTTAGTTCTTTAATGTACATTATTAGATATGATAAAAAGGTTTATGATTTATTTATTAATTTTGTCAAAATGTGTGTGAGAAAGCTTTAGGGACTTGTTATCCTTTGGTACTGATCCTTATATGTTGTCCTTTTTACCTGGTCGATTACCCCTGTTTGTGTAAATAAAGTCGCCTAGATAGACCCTATGGCGTGAAGTGAGTGACCCTGTCTTTTGTGTTTTGATAGTTTTTTTTCAAGAATCTTCTTTTTCATTTGAGACATATAAATGAGTATGAATGAGAATACTATACTAATTGAATTTCTATTATTATTTTTATTTTAAATTGTAACACATAATTACATACACCATAGGTTACATAAATAGTATATTAAGTTAATTGTAGTGGCTGTATGCACTATGTGCAAAGCCAATCAAACCAAAAAAAAAAAAAAAAAAAAAAAATTTGACAATTTTCTTTAAATTCCTCATAAACTCCTGACAAATTCTCCCAAATTCTCCCAAATTCCCCATAAATTCCTCCAAATTCCCTATAAATTCCCCAAATTCTCATAAATTCGGACGAGTTTCTACAAATTCCCCACAAATTCCTCTAAATTCCCCACATTTTTGGCAAAGAATTCCTAGGTGGTATGCCCCTTGATAAATACTTAATATTCTATAGTTTCAGAAGCCTTTTGATACTTTGAAATATTTTGAAGCTTATGACTAAGTGACTCAAGACTTTTCATTCAATATTGAGGTTGAAGACTTTGAACCTTCAAAATCACTGAAGACTCAAGTTTTTAAAGATTAAATATAGGCCTCGAAGAATCTACGAAAATTTAAAAGGTTTATGAGGCCAAGTTTGAGGCTTATCATTCAAATCAAAACCTAATACTAAAGGTGACTAAACCTTGGACTTTTGAGGGCTTTCTGCTTTAAGACTGGGGTATCATATTCACTAAATAGGTACCTACAGCAAATTAATTCATACAATAATTATATTTACAAACATTAACATCGATTTATTTTTTCATCATACATTTTTAAAACTAGGTACTTCTACATTATTTCAGAGAAAATAACCGCAATTTTCATTTTCGTTTCCGGTTTTATGCGTTCAGGAAAAATTATATCGAAACTCACAATCAAATCGCCCCGCCTCGATGGTTGTTTCGGATAAGGCAACCCTTCTCCTTTGATTAATGTAGTTTTATTCGGTGTTATTACTTCTTTTACCATGTCCAGAGTAGTTGTGTTCCCACCTAAAAGTGGCACTGTGACAATACTGCCGCACAAAGCATCTTTCAATAATATTTTAGCTGTATAGCGAATATCGCTGCCTTCTCTTTTAAATACCGGATGAGGCTTATCTCTGATTATAAAAACTATGTCTGCGGGGATTTTATTTGGACCTTGATTGCCTTCTTTTGGAAACGTGATTCTTGTTCCCGATTTCCAACCAGGCTTTACCTCTATGGTTAACAGTTTGTCTTCCCTTAGCAACGTTCCGTTTGGCTTCAATACTTTCTTGGAAATGTTCATGGTTTTCGTGCAACCAGTTAAAATATCTTCTAATGGTATGTGCATTTCACGTTCAATAGGTGGATCTTGAGTTGGGCCTCTTTGTCTTGAAGATTGTGAGAAAAAAGAAGGATCAATAGATGTAAATATTGGATGGCTAGCATTGCCAAAAGAAAAAAATTCTTCAAACGGATTATCACTACCAAAAAATTGTGCAAAAGTAGCTCTCGGGTCTCCGTGGAACCGGTAAAAAGAGGTACCACCATCTCGAAACGCACCACCAGGAACACCTTTCAAACCCTCTTCGCCGTATTTATCATAAATATCACGCTTTCTCTTATCGGAAAGCACTTCGTAAGCTTCGGCAACATCTTTGAATTTGGCCTCGGCTTCGGGAGCTTTGTTTTTATCGGGATGAAATTGCAAAGCCAGCTTTCTGTAGGCTTTTTTGATTTCGTCATCGGAAGCACCCTTTGGAATACCAAGGATGGCATAATAATCTTTGCCCATGATACTTTGACAATATTTGGTGACAGTTTTAATGACATTGTAACAAAAATAATAATCTTGTTGGACAATTTGACTAATAAAAACAAGATTTGATCCCAAGTTATTGAAAATTTATGAAAAAATTTGAAAATAGGAACTGTTCTTGTTTCCTTCACTTTTCTTGTATTGTATTGATGCAATTGAAAGAGGATACCTAAATTTGAATAATAATTCTTTCAAAAAGTCGAATTTTATTTTAGTTAATTGAGAATGGGTACAAAAAATCCACTTAATATTCTTCCCACTAATATTAGGTACCCAATAAAATATACAGTTTTGAACTAACATACATATTTTATAAATTCCAAGTTCAAGGTTCTGGTATAATTAAGTGTTTGTTTATATTGGCTCTAGTCTATGATGGTTAACATGTGTTTTCACATATTTATTTTTATCTAAACAAAGCGATTGCATTATTATAAACATTTTATAATGCATATTTCCCTGTTTTAAATCAGTTTTAAGTGTATTTATCTACTTTTTCGCATATTCAAATATACACCCCACAAAAATTATTGCATCTATCAGAAATGAACAGCATAATTGCAAAGTGGAATGTATGCCTATCCGCATTTTCCCAAAAAAAGTAAACAAGAACCTAACAGAAGAAGAAACGACATGTTTTTTGACTCGAGTTTTCCAGTTAAAGAATGCCCAGGGAATTCAGGGTGGTGTGTACTTAAGGGCTCTACTAATAATTGAAAAATTGATAGTAACAGTTTTGAAGGGCAAGGTTTTTCAGAAAATGGAATTTAAAAGGTCTGTTCCAACCCTTCATAAAACTGGCCAAAGAACGGCTTCTAAATCAGTCTGTATATGAATTTCGGGCTCTACGCACAAATTTTACATTTTATGTTTTGTGCAGAATTCTGACGGTGGGTTGGAACAAAGCTAGAAGAGAATTTACTGATAAGTCAGATAAGATTAAAACAGCCATTTTTCAGTTTTCATTTTAATAGAAAAATCAATATTTATTGCCTGGTCAGGTGGAGACGAGGGTGGAGAATAATAATTATTTTGCTTTGGTTATTTTCGAGGTTATTTTATACTAAATTTTTCCAGTGAAAAACAACACCAAGGGAAATTAGTGAAAATCGACTTGCAGAATCTAAATTAAGCCAAAATTCAATCTTTTACAATTTTAATATTTTTCCAGAAAATTACTACAGGGAAAATTGTGTTAGGTACTGAAGGAAAAATTAACTTATTGCTGTTTCATTTCTCACAAACATCAAATGTCCATAAGGTCAAGTGGCCTATATGTGCATCTATAAATCTTCAAAGTCCTCTTAACATCCTTGTATTTTCCATTCATATTTTCTTGATACATTTACATTTTCACGTCAACATTCAAATCAGACTTATAGTAAAAAAGCATTAGTATCCTTTTACCGACTAAGGTTCATCACTCATCAACATATGAAAGTAAAATTCGAAATTTATACAAAATCATTGAAAAAAAAAAAACGGCCAATTACAGTGGACATAATTTCTAATTTTGTTGAAAGTATGTTTAAGTAACCAGATAGGTTTCTTCAAATTGCACCACAAAATGTCATCAACCTAAACCTATTTATAGAAAACACAATATAATAAAGATAAAGCAATTCACAATAGGTAACTGCAGACATTTTTGTTTCGAATAAAGCCAGCCATGTGTGTATAATGGAGACAAAGAAAAAGGACGAGCAATTTTATACTGTCGAAAGCTGCTTTAAGCGTCTTTTTATGACGAGTTTGCCATTGTTAAATAAATGTACAAATATTTTGCAACAAAGATAACACAGTTTAATGATTTTAGTAACTAGTAATTAACCCTAATTATTAGAGTAAACTTATAGGATTTTTTTTCAATTGATTTGTGTCCACAATAATGGGTACATAATTCAAGATTTAAAAAGCATAAGGATTTGTTAACACCTGTCGAGATGTTAGGAATTTAATTTCTATGCTTGGCAACCGTAGCGGCAGTAAAACAATACTTTTGGTGCCGCTCGTACTTTTACTGCCGCTCAACCATACTCTTAAACCAAAAAATGAGGCCTAAACTAGAATATGAAATGAAAAATATTGTTTTTTCTTTCAAGTTTCACCTTGTTTGGAGAAAAATAGCGTGTTGCATACGGAGTAGAAGCACTTTTTGTGCTTCAGCAGTATTTGTAGGCCTCACTACGTTCGGCAAAAAGTGAAGCTTCTACTCCTAATACAATAATATACTATTAACAATTTACTAGGTATTTATGTAATTAGGATGATTTGGTTTTAATGATATTTTAATTACTAATTTAATATAGGTATGATTGGATCAGGGTCAGCATTATTACCCTGGTAATGGAAATTTCGAGGGAAATTTTGACAAATTAAATTACCTAAATTGGGAATTATGGTTTTAAGAAATAGGTTACATTTATGAAATTGGCAGAAGTCTAGAAGTCTCCCAATAATAGAGACAATTCTTGCGTGAATTTGTACAGCCTAGAAAAATAACCTTCACTTATCATTATTGTTGATTTGTATTATATTTAACCTGAATTCATAATTTGATACTACATTTCCTTCATATAAAATTTATAGCTTGAAACTCGACTCTCATGGGTGAGGCTGTAATTTTATATTGAGATAGGGGTATGAGACAAAATAATCTTAAATAAACTGTTATTTTTTAATTTTTTTCAGGTGAGTGATTGGATTAGATATCTATGAAAACTGTGAAGAAAAATCGGTAAGCAGCTTTATTTTTATTACTACAGCCGCACTTTACGCAGAAAATCAAGATTCTTCATACTCATTAGAACTATACTGATTATCAAAAAAATAGCTTGTACCTATAATGATTGTATTTGAGAATGTAAAAACTTACAATAGCTTTAAATGTGAAGGCAAGAGAAGCAAAACCTATTTAGGTTTGAGAAAATGTATACCCCGAGGGGTAAACCCGAGGGTAAACCACTTGTGGAAATCATTATACATTTTTTTGGGAATCACATAGTAATCAATGAGGAATACATGGAAATCATTTGGGAGTCCCTGGGAATAACCTGGGAATCGCTAGGAATCTCCTAGGATTCAAATGATATCGAATCAAATCAAAATTTATTTACGTTAAGTAATCCTTAATCACACAATATAGTGTATATGCACTTCAGGGATTAAAAGTACCCTTTTAATCACTGTTTTAAGGGAATAAAATGGGTCTTTTAATCCCCGGGATTAAATTTTACTTTATTTCCCGGGGATTAAAACTACCCTTTTATTCCCTGTTTTATTTAATCCCCGGGAAATACAGTAAATTGCATAAAATAGTGTATACACCTCAGGACTAAAGTGTTTTTTAATCCCTCGACAATATATACATCCGTCTCTTTTTGCTGCATTAAAGCTGAATATGTTTATCTCAAAAAACTCAAGCATCAGCATTTGCTTCTGTTTTATTTATATAAGCCATTGTCTCTACAAAATCACAAAATCTTAAAAGACCACACTGTGTCATTGGTCTAAATGCAGACTTATTCATAAAAACCTTATCAGCCGCTGAACTAAAACGTAGCATTCCCATTCCATGGGAATTACATGAGAATCAATTGGTTATCGCTGGAAGAATTTAGAACTTGAAGGAGAACGAGATTAAGATTAGGTCTGTTCTCACAGAAATCAAAAACCAGTCAGAACACTTTTGATTGGTGCAAATCGCCAACAATCCGTTTTCTGACTATTTTCAACCAATCAAATTCGCTCTGATTGGTTTGTGATTTCTGTGAGAACATACCTTAAATAGGTATGACAATGTTGTAAATCATAAAAATAAAAACATGAATCTTCGAACCTCTCTCGAATCCGTTTTGCCAAAAGACGACACAGAATTTCTTCACATAATATCAGGGTTTAGCAATCGCGAGTCGCTACAATCAAGAGGCTATCCAGGGCTCAACTTTAATCCGGTTTTTTCCATAGTAATAAGAGCTATGGGAATGTCCCTGAGAGAAAAAGAAAATACAAAGTCGGAAATCCAAGGCAGTAAGAACTTAGAATAAATACTAGGCAGGGCGAGAAGCAGAGACAATATCACAATTGTACATCTGAATCAGAATCAGAATAATTTGTCGAGTGAAACCCTAACTGAAGATGTCTCTGATTCAGATGAACTTCCTAGTGAAATCCTAGAAATATCCATTATTCTAGATCCATATTATGCAGTGTGCAGTGTAGACATGCAATGGTATCTAGGACTCAGCAACTATTTATACCTACAACAAAATCGCTGTGGGGACGAACAACCATGAAAAAAAAGTTGCTAACTTTTGGAAGAGTTGCAAGTACAGAAGTTGCCAATTTTTCAGTGGAAACGTGTTGTTATAAGAGAAAAGACTGTTTATTTTGGTTAACTAGACATCGTTTTTGTAATAAAATAAGCTGGAAATCGGATGATTACAGAAAATCATCGAGGAAATCAGGTAATCAATTGGGAATGACATAGGAATCCCCACAAAAAATGGAAATCATCCAGTAATCATACAAAAATCTTTGAAAATCATTGGCAATCAGTCGCCATTATTGGGATTGGAATACATGAGATTCATTGATCAGTGATTGCCAAATATAGAAATCATTGTACATTTGTAAGCATAATGGTTGACCCCTCCCCTTGGTATACCCAATATTTATTGTTATTGTGTGTGTGCTATTTTTTCTTTGTAACTCAGCTATGCAAGTGCTATTATTAAGGATTATTTTTATTAAAAAATTAAACTTTTAACATAAAAGGGGTATTCCTCGAGAGTTACCTATTTCTTATGTACTTACTTAGATACAGTTGGCACTACTAAAACATTTCTATTTATAAAATCTTATGTATCTATTGAAAAAGAATACGATGGTTATTCCATGACAATGTTTTATTATTGAAAGTCATTTGCATATTGTATATAACCAAGAAAATTCCCATTAAATCACATATTATGAAG